CCAGCCAGGTGTACGGAGCCGAGTGATTGGCTGGCACGGTAAATTGATGCTTCCCGTGGGACAATGAGTCGTGCAAGTTTCTCTTTGCACACTTCACTCCGAACGATTCGTCCGCATCGGGTACCCGGTCATATCCACGAACTCCAACACATGAGGCGGATGCCTTCACTTCGGCACATCTCCCTCTACCGCCGTTCAGCATCCGGACGCGGGTACGGCAGGGCAGAAGTGGAGCTCTCGTCTCACTCTCCTCGTGCCTTGTGCCACACGATCTAAGACTTCGCCAATGACGGGTCCCGTAACTGAGTCGATCTTGTGTCCGAGTCTCTGATTATGTCTTGGTCTGGAAAGGGGAGAAGCCTGCCACTCGGTCTGCTTTGTGCTCTCAGCCCCGAGGCAAGAAGGTGCTGGGGGCTGACAAAGATGCAAAAAAAAAAACAAAAAAAAAAGGATATGCAGTTTCGGGGCGTTGGACAAAGCATTGAGTCCGAGGCGGGGATGCTGAGAAGATTGGGTACAAGGACGAGGTCACAATAACATAGGTACGTACGCTACGGTGCTTGTTGTTGTTGTTGCTGCTTCCCTTGTCACCCATGTCCTCCATTGAGGATGAAACAACCACCTTGTTTACTATTGTCCAATACTATCCCTGACTTTTCTCTTATTTTGCTCCATCACCAACTCCTATTCGGCCGACACGGAAGGGAAGGGAAAGAGCTTAGTGGCTCAATTCTACCGGAGGGGCATGACATACGTGGACATGCATTCCTCGACTCACGATGAGAGTTTTGGTACTCTGAAGGGGTTGGCCCTGCCTGAGGACTGGGTTTAAGGCGAGCAGGAATGTTGAACCCTTAATCTCAGCTTTGTCTCAAGTGACGACTAAGGAAAGCAGGGAACATGCCTTTCCCAGCAGCTTAGGCAAGCGAGACAACTCAACGGGCGTGCCTGTGTACCTGACTCTTTTTTTCTTTCTCTTTGCTGGCTCAAACGACATACCCATACTGCCGACGTGTGCAGCAAGTATGTCTTTGTTTTCGTACATGTCGCCTCGCACAGAGGGGGAGTGAGGTAGTGTACACTTCAGAGAGCGTGAATTCTCTGTGCACTTTGGGTGGATGGTGATCCATTCATGGCGCTTGCTTGCCCGCCTGCTGGTTCCTTCCGGCCTGATTTTTCTGACTGGTTCTGTTACCTGTCCTCTTCCCGCTGCCTGGGCACCGGCATTCCCAGAGGCAGGACATATGTTTCGTTTTGTGGTTGGTTGTGGGCTATGTGTGGACCAGTGTCCGGTGGTACAGTACCGTAAGCTCAACTGCCGCAATCCCCGCCGTTGTTGTGTTTCGGACGAGAAGGAGAATAAAAAATTGGGAAGCCAATTTAACAGCTTCATGCTTGCTTTGAGGGGGTTGTTTCTAGTTGGGGGGCATACAAGAGGGCGGAGAGAGCGCCGGACCCGAACCGGCAAGTTCCGACTGGAGAACCAAAAAGTTTTTTTTTCTCTGTGTAGCAATTGGACAGAATGGAGATAGGGAACACAAAGGCTTTCAAGTTGGCTTTACCCGTTTGTTACTCAGGGTATAGGATGGGGGGGGGCTGTGGTGAGAAGACAAGTGCGAGGCTTACCAGCCAAACACAGACACAGAGACAGCGGGTAAGAGGGGCAAAGCAAGGCAGAAGTGAACTGAAGCGGATGAATGTATCCGACAGGGAGATTATTTGCTTACTGGTGGACATTGTTGAGCTGGAATGTGTGTTGATGCAAATAATGCACGAAAGGGGTTTGTTTGGAAAAGTGGATATTTTTCGAGGGGGAGTGAGTTTGTTTGGCATTGGTTTGTTGTTCACTTTCACCCCCCCTTTCTTGACCCACTAGCTGGCCGGTTACAGAGACTCCCCTCTTCATGCTCAAAGAGCACAGCGCAGAGAGGTCTGTTACTATTGTCTTTGAACGAAGCGGGAGTTTCGAGCACCTTCCGTTGGTTTCGCCTCTGTGGAGACTGGTTGTTGCACACACAGGAGTGTCAACAAAGACAGGCTTATAGAGAGAGAGGCAAGGGAGTAAAAGTGAAAACTCTGTCGTTTTGTCTCTTGCTATTGGGTTTGGTGGGTTTATTGGGAGGGGGCTTAGTTATGCACTTTTAAACGCTCTCGGACTGATGATGATGTGATGGGTGCAGGTAACAAGTCAAAGAGTGACAACAACACAGAAGGGCTGGGCTGCTTAGTTGCGACCGGTCGGTCAATGACTTGCAGTTTGACTTTCTGGCAGCTTGTCAGTGGATAGATGAGTTTCTGGCAGTTGGTTATTGGTCATTGGGCATCTCGGCAAGGTAGATCATGTCTGTTGTCTTCTCGGGCCGCTAGGGAGGGAGGATGGATACAGTACACGCTGGTCTGATGATGTGTGAGCTGTGCTCTTCGGGCCGCTAGAGGGGAGGGATTTAGATGGATGCGGTGCACGCTGTTCAAGAGGAGGGTGGGTTTTGTGTGCCGTGGTGCCGAGCACAGGTTTGAGGGTCTGGGAGACCCTGGGTGTAAGGAAAGCTTGCAGAGGTTAGACATTGGCTTAGTCCCAGGCAGAGAAACAACCAGGTTGCAGCAGTGTCAGGTTTGGTCTCTGAAGTACCTCCTATACTGTGATGCCGGCGTTTTTTTCGTGGCAACAAACACCCAAAATATGAGAAGTGGCCTCTAGTGAGCACTGTGAATCTCAGTATTGTTTGTTCTGGGCTTACGTCTTTGAGTTGTGCTGAACTTGATTGGTATTGGGTAGGTAGTCTTTTCGCCCTGAAATGGGACCCAAGAAGACGGTTTGGATTGGGCAGAAATTGAGGGGAGAGGGGTTCAGGCGTGCCACGTTTCTGAGGGTCTGTCCCAGAGACTCTGAAAATTTGCAGTGCTAGTAGGTGCTATTGGACAATTGAGTGAAGAATTGGACAATGGAGAAGAGAAGGGGGTGATGGGTGGTGATGCAGGTTTGATTGGTTGTTGGTGTTGAGGTTCTTCTGTTGAGAAGACTCAACTAGGTAAGAAGAGGCAGATATGGATGGAGGGGTGGTTGAAGCATGTCAGTCAGGTAAGGTAGGTTGGCTGTTTCTAACTGACATGAGCATGCTTGGAGTGTAGCTATTTGGCTGGGTTAGTCTCGAAGAGGTGGTCGTTTGGCAGCTGTTGTAGGGTTCATGACCAGGGCCGATGGAAAGCGAAAGTGGATGGCAACTCATGATAAGAGACTCATAGCAGGATGCATCGTGGATGTTCCACAGGGGTTCTTAATATTGCGTTGTTTTAGATATGGGTATGGCTTTTCAGAGGTACAGGTAGGGCTCTTCTAGGTACTCATAGCTGTGGCTCTTCGAAATGCAAAATGTATTATGTTTGTTCATGGCCTAAAGCTGTGACATATTCCGGTAGTTGTTATCCGAAGTAAAAGAGAAATGTAGATAGCTAGTTTGTTATTTCATTATCTAGTGGATTAAGGGGTTGATTGTTTCTTAGTACCGTCACCCTCCCCATAGAATAATTGACACAGGAAGTAAGTTGACGCCATAATATACTGTGAACTATACCTTAAAAGTAAATCAATAGATCTTTAAACTATCTTTAAAGGCCTATAAACTATCCTTAAATCCCATAAATTGTTTTTAAAGGCCTATAGACTATTTTTAAACGCCTATGGACTATCCTTCAAAGCAGTTAACCTGCTTTAGTGTCTTAATTATTTTGTGGTAAGGGTGACCCCCTAAGTGCAACTTGCTCTTGATATCTATAGCTTCAAACACAGACGTCTACGTCCTGTAAAAAAGTCAGATCCGTGTTTAATGAGGATTCAGACTTACTTCGAGAGGCTTACTTATATCAAAATACCTAAATAACAATGGGAGTATGTGGGCGCACTCCAAATAGTCACGAATTCGAAAACGCTGGTCTGCAGGTAGCTTGGTGTAGAAGTGGTTGTTGTCTACCGCCCTGGTAACGACACAACCATCCCGTATCATGCATTTCTCTCTGAGGACTGATTGTTGATTTCGAGATGACGAGTCGATATTGATCATGGCTGTGTCGATGTCGTCTTCGAATTCTTCTGCTAGCCCTGGAGAGATAGTTAGGCTTTGAAGCCCAACGTTTCGAGCAGGTTTCAGAAGGGCGTCGACTAAGAAATTTCTCAGCTGCCTGAGTTTTCGTGCATTGGCAGAATTCTCCTCAATCTCCCGCATTAGCGTGATTCGCCCGGCAACCGGCAGGTGTGTGATGAATGCCTCAAGGACACGTTTGGTATCATCCTGTCGTGAAGTTTGCACATATCTGCTGAGTGCCTGACTACATCTGTCGTACAGCTCCAATGCCTTCACCGGGTCCTCAAACGCCGCTGATAAATATGTGCTGAATGCTGTTGAGACAATTGTCTCTTCGTCGACGTTTGGGTGCTGGGGGATGGCGCGCTCCATTTTAAAACTAAATAAATATCGAGTAACAAAACCGGTAATAGACGCTCACAAAAACCTAAATAGTGAATACCTAGGACACGGATTACTGTACAAACATTTGCCGGGGGAAGAAAAAAAGTTCTAAACAGATGGGTCAAACCCTAGAGGGCTTGAGCTTGATTAACTGAGAGGAAGTGGCTTGAAGTAGCGTAATTACCTATTGGAGAAAGAAAGGACTGCGAAGGAGGCTAGAGCAAAGGCGTTCAACTGGTGGGCACAGTCGAGATGCCATCTCGACTGCGAAGAGTGCCTTCAGTCTGGCGCTTCAGGGCCTATCCCAAGCTCCTGTGCCGTGGGCTGCCACTTGTATCGCCTTGGAGGTATGTTCACCCAGGAGCATTGACATGTCATCTGCTGACCTTATCAGATGCTATTCAACCCTATTAAGAGCACCAGATCCAGTCGCTAAGGGATAAACCGCATCAGAACGATGATGGATTGGTACCGGGGACTGACTCACCCTCTGTTCAAGGACAGCCCAAGTGATTGGGGGGGGGGGAGCTCTCACAAATGAGACGACAACTTGGCATCCAAATTGTTGAACTCTATGAAGCTCTACTGTCTTATCAGATCACATTCGTCTGTTCCTGTTACCGTCATCGGGGTCTTGCCTTCTTAGGAGATATTCTCGAACTTGATGATTGGGAGCACAAGATGAAACTCGTGGTCGATGCCGAAACAGACATATACAAGTCGTCCAGGAAATATACAGCCCTGCAAATGTCGCTGCCGTTTGAACAACCAGTCGTGAATCGAGTAACGGACGAAGAAAACCAATGCCTGAGAAATCTTCGGTCTACTGATCCTCGGGATGACAAAGATCGCATGAAGAAAACCAAAGGAGGACTTCTCATCGAATCCTATGCTTGGATTGTAGGTAACCAACAGTTTCAGCAATGGCGGACTCACCCAGGAAGGCGAGTCCTCTGGATCAAAGGCAATCCGGGAAAAGGGAAGACCATGCTTCTCTGCGGAATGATCAATGAGCTCTCACGACTGAATACTGGAAATGGTAAAGGCACCTGCCTGGCGTATTTTCTATGCCAAGCAACAGATTCTCGCATCAGCGGCGTGACTTCAGTCTTACGGGGTTTAATCTATCTATTGATCGAACAGAATCCCTCGCTCATCTCTTATATTCGAGAGAAGTACGACCTGCTGGGAAAGATATGTTTGAAGACGTCAATGCTTGGTCTGCCTTTCCATTCCCTACTTCCTCCTGGAATCCTCAGTATGTAGGGTTACGCTCTGTCACATACAACGAAGAAGGCGGGTGTTTCAATATGGGCCTGGATCGTCTGTGTCTTGTTTTAGAGTCCCTACCGGCTACAGACTCGAACCGTGGGGTTAATTACCGGCTTCGTGAGGATGGGTATAATGCGTCGCAGGATGGCAGGTGGGTTATCAAAGATGAAGAGAGATTGCTGTGGCTGCCAGCGGACTATCGTCCTGATCATGCTTTCAGTTGGAAGGGGGCGGCACATACTCTGGTCATTTCCACGAAACGGAAGGAAGTCATGGTCATGGAGTTTGCCTCGGGTATGGATGTGCGCCGTGGGCATCATTAAGCCTCTAAAAATAGTTAACAGACCTTGGGATATACTATAGGCCTTTACTTGTAATCGCGTTGTTTAAAAGATAGTCCAAAGGCCTTCAAAGAGGTGTGCTAACTATCTTTATAAGCCTTGATATTATATTTCAGTCTCTACTTTTTCATCCACAGCGTACTTGACATTGAAGTTCAAGCCAGTTGGTATTATGGGTGGTCAACACAAATAGGTATCAATTCAAGAACACTCAACATAAGAGATCTAACTACCCATGATACAACCCAACGAAATGCTCAACTTGAACCACCAAAAAACAGAAAGGTATCATTCCTCCATTCTCAATCTTATTACATACCCCCTAAAGAACAGATATCCTCTCCAAAACAAAACAAAAGTCTTCCACGTGTGTGCGTGTGCGTGCTATATGCGCAAGTCCATTCTTTTTTAGTGCCCCACTTTTCCCAATCCCATATGCCCCATAATAAAAAGCAAAATTGCATCCACACCAAAAAAGAAGAGTGACAAACGCTCGCCGGCTATTTAAAACAAAGAAAAACCAAAAAACGACAATCCAAAATATCAGTAAACACTCCCCTGTATACTCTTATCCTCCATCTCAGCTCTCATCAATGCCTCATCCGCCTTCTCCGTTAACGTCCTCGCCAACTCCAACCCATCAGCGTTGCTCCCACTCTCATCCTCATCCTCATCTGGCGTCTCATGCTCCCCATCTGCCTCGTGCTCTCCATCACTGCTATGCCCAGCATCACTGTGGCAGTCTCCCAACCTGTTAGCCCTCATACCCCTTCCCATCCGGCTGTTATCTCTCTTGCTGCCAGGCCCAGTGAGAAAGACAGCACGATGAGAAGCAGGCTTGAGATAATCATGTGTATGTGAGTGGTGGTGAGTATGTCTGTGACGCTCGTCCTCTGACGAGTCAGCGTCATCCCCGCTGGCGACGCTGTTATGCCCGCTGTACGTCCCGCCAAAGTCCCTTCCGACATGGAGTTGCTGTACCGCACCCCCATGGGCAGAAGTTTGATGGTTGCTGCTGCTGTTGCTGCTGTTGTTGCTGAGGTGGGGCGGTAGGCTGGGGCTCTTGAGCTGGCCACGTAATCGGTCGTCGACAGAGATAAAAGACGGCGTACCGTCTGGACTAGAAACCACCTCATCTCGGGCCTTGCTGATGTCGATTTTGGGACCCGTGATAGAGATGTCAAAGGAGGGGTTAGGGCTGCCGTCTGCGCAAAGCGTGGTTGATGACTGAGACCAGAAAATCTTTTTGCCTGCCGGCCGTCGACTCACTAGTGTTGTGCTGTTGGCCGTGCCGTTGAAGGAAGGGTTAGTGAGGCCGAAGGTCGAAGAGGTTGTCGTGTTGTTGTTGTTGCTGTTGGTCGTCGAGGAGGTGGAAGGAGTAGAGTTGTTCGTTTCAGCAGGGGGAGCAAGAGCGGCAGCAGCATCGAGGGGAGAGGCGGTGCCGTTCTTGACGGCTGTCACGTTGCTCCCGCTCGTGTTGCTGTTGCTGTTGCTACCGCTGCTGTTTTCACTTCCAGCCAGGCCGACAGCCTGGTTAGAGATGATATGGTCGTTCTTGACCAAGTCAGCCAACGTCTGGCGGATCTTGAAATTCTTGTCGTGGTTGCAGCCGTTGGGACAGCCTCCCCAGCGACGTCGAATCTCAACCACTGAGCCGGTGCGAGCAAGTTTCGAACTGTCCTTACTCTTTCCATTCTCCTTTCCGGTCTCCGCCTTCTCCTTGTCCTTTGCCTCGGCTTCCTTTTCTCTGGCCACCGCTTCCAGCGCGTTTTGTTTTTTGAGATCGGACCATGTCCGTAGCTTGTTTTCTAGGATGTATTTGCCCGTGTTCATGTCCTGCCTCATGGTGAGGAACTCGCAGTGGTTCACGTTGCGGAGATCCTCAAAGTACTCGACACTGAAATGGTACCACTTCATGAGGAAGACACGAGACATGAGACCGTGAGTGACTGTTGTGGGTTATTATTAGCATCCCCATTTCTTTGGAAAATTGGCTCGTTCCTGGACAAAAGAAAAGACATACCTAATACGCAGACACTGGGAAAGTCGTCATCCCCAAACTGTCTCCACAAACTCTCGTTGAAACCACTGACACGATCGTAGGCATCCGCCGCACTCTCGCCGTTTGGAATTCTGTAGAAAAAGTGACCATAGTCGGCACGCTCCTGCCACATCCTTTCCATCTCGGCGCTGCATGGCTGGAAGTTGCCAAAATCTTGCTCGCGCAGCCTTGGCTCCTCATAGACCTTGATCCTGTTCCTGTTGAAGTTGCTGTCTTCTGGCTGGTTGTCCGTCAAGGTGGCGAGGATGCCTTCTGTCGTCTCTCTTGTCCGTCTGTAGGGGCTGGTGAAGAACTGAAGAGTGTCGTCGGGCCGCAGCAGGCCCTTGAGTCTCCGGCCGGCTTCGTAGGCTTGTTGCCATCCTTCTTGCGTGAGCTTGACTCTGTGATCGGGAATGGTCTGGTGGATGTCGCGGTTCTCTGTTGCAGAAATGGCATGTTAGTCACACTGATCTTCTTGTACCCCTCCTTTTTTGCGACATGGGAATCTGCAGTGCGAGGCTGAGACATGTGACGTACTGTTGCCCTCCGACTGGGCGTGTCTGATAAGGATGATAAGTCTTGGTTTCCCCATGATTGTGTTCTCCTTCTCTTCTCTGGGTGAATTGGGTCGTGGAGATAGCTGCAGTTGGTGTTTGAGCAGGATTGGGGAGTGGGCAGGTGTTTCTTGGGCGCTTGGTGGTCTAGTGATAGGCAGTTCGTTTCAAGTTGCCTTGTAGGTAAGGCGAGGGCCTATCAAACAAGGTGGGGGATAAAGCGCACGGGGTTGTCCGACAAAGGGGATCTTCGGGAGTAACAGAAGGGAAAAGGAAAAATGGAAACAGGCAAAGTTTTAATAGCTTTAAGATTCTCAGTTACAGCACAGAGCCTAGCTGCCCAGTCTTTTGCAATATGGATGCTCGATGATATTTCGTATTACCAATGCGGTTCGTCACCAAGTGACCCCTGCCAATTACTCACTATCCCAAGCCCACTGCCCAGTTGTTTTTAGCAGGCTCCAAGTGGAACTGTGGAACGGTGGAACGGTGGACACAAGCAAACTCAGACTTCAAGTTGGGCATGACCCCGCTAGTTTTTCATCTGGAGGTGTCTGGATCTCGTTGGCTGCTTGGTCCATGGAACAGCACCCAAAGCTGCCGTGTCTGCCTCTCCTTGCGCGCGCCTGATGATGGATGGCAGTGCCCGTGTCTGCATGGTTCTGCCGTTCTTCAGCTTTGGGCTTTCTTCTATTGTGCAATACCTCTATCAAAGCAAATGGCACGATTCCACCGTCCCTTCGTGCCACTTCTGGTGTCATCTCCTGAAAGCATAGGGCTGCCGAGTTTTGCTAGCTGATAGCAAAAGAGTACCCGCCGAACCGGTGACCGCCTGATCGCCATCGAATCAGACCGCCTCCCGAAGAGATCTACCCATCTGCCACCCGTGGCTTGCTAACACCAGATGTGTGGTACAGACGCACCCCCCCCCCCCGCCCCCGGCACTTGACCATTCTGGATGACGGTTCCTGAAGCGCCCAGTTCTTGTCCCCCAAGCGCCTAACAGGAACAGACAACGTTTTCCTGCATTTTTACCTAATATGCTTCCATTTCCAGCAACATGTTCGTATCCTCTTTCATGATGCAAAATCACCACATGACATGTTGGATATTTCTCCATGCCGCCAGTTCAGTCTAGATCGACAATTATATGGGGTAAACGGAGTCCACAATCTTGTTCACGTGCCCCTTTCTTCTGGATCGTGTTTGCGGTTCCCCGGGCCCCCCTACTAAAAAAAATAAAAAAAAAAGTCATCAATGCAATCCTGACTGGATCGTGGGTCGCTAAACCCCGCCATTTCTCTTGGGGCTGCCAAGACATCGTGGTCAAAATTTGAGACAGCTTCCCATTTTCAACCACTTGTCTAAACACATGCTTGATCACTGACCAGAAGACCAATCAATGGGACTCTCTCTTGGCCGTGACATTTGCTCACACCCGGATATCATCACGCAAAACGTGCGGTGCGTGCCATGGCCATTTCGTTCCGTTTGCTCCCGTGGTAGGTCCCGTAGGTCCCGGAATCTCAGATCTTCATTGTGTCAGGCACCACGAGGCTGAAGCCCCACCACCAAAGTGACTCTTTTCTTGGCACAGCCAAGGTGGTGGCCCAGGCTCTCAACTTTTTTTCTGGTTGCGCCGCGGTCGCGTCCGGTGTGCCAAGCCAAACCAAGTGCACCATCCAGCTGCAAAGCTTCAACTCCAAGAAATCGCATCATCAGCATCACCACCATCTGTCGCGAGGGACCCACCAAATCGACTCACAGTCGCTACCACGTTCACATTCTAATTCCGGGCTTTGTTGTCAACAGCCATCACCACCATCCTTGTCGGCAACTAGTTACTGGATCCAGCCTTGCGATTACATCACCCACCACCATCAACCCTCCCAATCCTCAACCTCAGCTCACCTCAGCTCACCTCAACCAACTCCCAAAATGGCCGACGCCCCCCCAGCCAAACGCCTCAAAACAACCACCTCCGCCAAAACCAAACACAACCTCTCCCCCACCTCCCTCCAAGCAGCAACCCTCTCATCCCTCTTCGCAAACCCCGACAAGCCCATCCCCCTCCCCACCGGCCCCCAAAAGAAACACCTCCCCCCGCCCCCAGAAATAGTAACCAACGTCCAAGGCTCCTCCGCCGGCGCCGGATCGGGCGATTTCACGTCTACAAAGCCGCCCGCCGCCGCGAATATGAACGACTCCGGCAAATGGAAGAGGAAACCGCCGCTGAAAAGGCCCAGCGCGAGTTTGAGGAGGAACGACTAGAGAGGATAAGAAAGGACGAGGAAAAGACGCGGAAGAACAGGGAGAAGAGGAATAAGAAGAAGCAGAATAAGGGGAAGGGAGGTGGGAATAAAGGGGGGACGCCGCAGCCAACTACTACCGCGGGTGGGAAGGAGGGGGATAAGAAAGGTGACGGTGGTGATAAAGTGGCTGGAAATGGGACAGAGAAGTGGGATGCAAAGGAGTCGACAACACTACAACCACCCGCTGTCCCAGTCGCCCAAGGGGTGGGGTTGGTCATCTGCGATGATGATTGAACGACAACCAGCTTCACACACGCAGAATCAGCAATCGGTAGAGTATCAGAGGAAGGGGTATCTGCATTCCAGCATTTTATTTGTTCACTACTTCCCACCCATCCATCCATCTATGCCATGCTTTATCTACCGGCGGGTCTACCCTCCTTCGTCATCTGTACATTTAATCATCACCACCGCTAATGCCGACACCCGGTTGCAGCTTCTTCGCGCTGCAAATGTCATCTACTCTGAGCAAGAGGCAGGCGGCCTACGTTATGTTAGTACACTGTAATACCGTAGGCAGAATCAAAAACCATACCTCGATAGCAGTCTTCATGCTCTGCACCTTGATAGCCTCCGGCTCCCAAACACCATACTCCTTCATGTCCACCAGCGAACCAGTATCACCATTCACGCCCCACGAGCTCTTGCCCTCGGCGTGCTTAGCCCGGAGATCGGTCAGCACCCTGACAGGGGACTTGCCCGCGTTCTGGATAAGCGTCCGGGGGATGACCTCAAGCGCCTCGGCAACAGCCTTGTAAGGCCACTGCTGGACACCCTCAATGCTCTTGGCGAGCTGCTGTAACCTGACAGAGACCGCCATCTCGGTAGCACCACCGCCAGGCGATAATCTGGGGTGGAACATGACGTTGCGCGCCACGCCCATGGCGTCCTGGAGGTTGCGCTCAATCTCGTTGAGAACATCCTTAGAGGGACCTCTGAGGAGGACAGTGCAGGCCTTTGGTGACTTGCACTTTGTGAGGAAGGTGAAGTACTCGTCGCCAATCTTCTCAATCTCGAACAGACCGCACTGGGTGCCGACGTCAGACTCCTGGAGGTCTTCCACTCTGTTGACGATGGTGGCACCAGTGGCTCTCGCTATCCGATTGTTGTCTGTCTTGCGCACGCGGCGGAGGGCTGTGACGTTGGCCTTCATGAGGTAGTGCTGAGCGAGATCTAATACACCATCATCAGTCTTATGCCCCCTATACCCCTGAATGTTTGCAAACAAACTTACCAGAAACACCCTTCTCAGTGATAACCAAATCTGGGTTCAGCGCCAAGATATGCTCACACATGCTCTTGACCTGCTCCTCCTCAATCTCTAAAATCCTGTTCCAGTCCTCCTCCTTCGTCACCTCGATATTAGTCTGCGACTCTCCCTTCTTATACTCCAAAGGGCAATCCAACAGAATAATCCTCGGGTTCTCAATCTTGCGGCGCATCTTGGGATGAGTAATATCTTTGTTGAGCATCACACCATCCAGCACCCGACTGTCCTCAATCTCACCACCAGGCACCTTCTCAACACGCGCATACCGCTTGATATCGACCTCGCGCTTGCCGTTGCCAACCTCCCAGGTGACTGTCCTGACAGCGTTCAAGGCAAGGCTGCACATGAGCTCCGACCATCTCGAGACAAACTTTGTGCCGATGGACGAAGAGATAAGCTTGTACATCTCCTTGTCGTCGTTGATGTCGATGGGAAGGGAGATCTCCTCGATGATTTCCAGCGCGTCCTTAAGAGCCCGCTTGAAGGCCGCGATGATGTTGACTGGGTGGATGTTGCGCTCGAGTTGGGGGAGGGCCTGCGCGAGGATCTCACCGGCTGTGACAAAATGTTAGCCCCTGGTCAGCTTCCATGCCCAACATGCCCATCAGTGTTGATTTGTAACCCACCCAGGATAATAACAGTAGTAGTACCATCGCCAACCTCCTCATCCTGCGTCCGGCTGAGCTCGATCATGCTCTTGGCCGCGGGGTGCGACACCTCGATCTCGCGGAGGATGGCGTGGCCGTCGTTGGTGAGGACGATGCCGCCCATGGGGTCGAGCAGCATCTTCAACATGGCCTTGGGGCCCAGGCATGATCGGATAATATCAGCAACACTGTATCCCCCAGGTAAGCTTCATGTACTTCAAACGACGACGACGACAACATCGACTCGGGGCGGTCAAGCAACCAGAACGGCGGGGTAGTAGTAACATACGTTTTGGCAGCAGCGATGTTCGACAACTGAGCCTTGCGACCGGTCTGCCTCTCAGCACCGGCATTGGTGTCTATGTTCATACCATAATGGTCAGCTATGAGCAAGTCGCGGTAAAGGGGGCCCAAAGTATATAGGAGGCGGGGAAGCTTCCATAGAGGGGGGATCCATACTCATCACCAAGACAGGAGCCTGCATCTTGCCTGTCGTTGGCTTTCCGCCTGTTGTATTGTTTTAAAAAGGGGTATTAAAACGAGTCGTGGTCGGGGGGAGAAAGAAGGTGGTCAACGAAAAGGGACAAGGCGTGGTGGTCGCTGGAAAAGGGCGGGTTCGAAATTACACAGCGAGGATCCAGCGTGGGTTCACTGTTTTCCTTGTCGTCGCTAGGCAGCTCCTGAGGCGCTGGAGGTGGGATGGTCCCGAAAAGTTCAGAAGCCCGGGACCCACCAAAGCTCCCGCTCTCAACGCCCGAGGTGGGGCAACGCCCGGATCAACACAACTTCCCTTCCGCCTGGATATCAACGGCCCCAAGACATAGTATAATTCAACGTCCTAAACGACTTAATGGTAACAATCAAATACACTTCATATTATCATGGCGAAGGGGTGTACATAGACCCTATGTACACATCCATAATATCAACTCGGCCTGCTTCTTTTATACATGTCCATCAAAGTCGTCCACCTCACTGCCCGTTCCTCCTTTCCATCCCTGATAACCTTCCATATCCCCCCTCCCTTTCCCTCTCTGCGTCTCTTCATTGTTCAAAATGCCAACACGATAACCCCTTCTCAACCACCAAACAACTTCACCATATCCTCCAACTGTTTGTAAATGTAATGGAATACAAATACGTACAAAGGAAAGAAGCACGGCGGCAAGGTTCGCAAAGTGTGCTCTTTGTCGACCCAGAGAATTAGATGTTAGTAAATGCTATTGTCTGGCCAGACCATAAACTCCCCAAAATCGACGAAAAAATTGATACAGAAAACAAAAAACTGTCAAAAGTGACGGTGCTATACAGCACAAAAAGCGTATACTGAAGGAAACAAAAACAGAGGCCTTGTTTGCGTGCAGTAACATCCTGTTGCAAAAAGAGCCTGCTTCAGTCGCTGAACTCAAAAAGAGACTAGAAATTCTGCGAGATTCCGGCTGTCTGTTGCGGGTAGTGTGCTGGGTTCTCGATGCGAGTGTTCCTCCGAGCCGTCACATCCCGGATGATTGGTGAGCCGCCTCCTGGCTGGCTGGGGGGCTGGTCTGAGTATGGGTTTCCACTGCCGTACTGATCGTAGTACTGATTGGGTCCGCTGTACGCCATACCTATTGGGCCTTCGCCAGAGCCATCAGACCTCGCAGCAGCACTATACGAAGAGGAAGCATTGGAAGGCCCGCGGTGCACGTCACCACGGTTGTTCGCAGCAGAAGGGCCCATTACTCCAAGAATCTCGCCCTCCGGTGAAGCAGGCACTTCGTGCATCAAGGGCTCACCAGATCGTGTGTCGGAGACAGTAGCACGGGTAGGTGAAGCGGCATCCGAATAAGGGACCCCTCCAGACATGGTTGTCGATGTTTTCCTCGCAGTCGAACCGGCAATCGTGGTGGAGCCCCAGCCTCTGTAGCCAGCGGAGGACTCATCATCTCGCCCATCATAAGCGGCAGCGACGGCTGGAATTGTTGGGTCGGCGTTAGGGTTGTATCCATAATCTTCGACCTCCTTGCGTCTCTGCTCCTCGGCATCCTTGCGCTGCTTCCTCTTCCTCCACAAGAAAATGCCGGCCACAACCAAAAGAGCAACGGCAACAATAGGGACCACCACAGCGATAGCAATCTTCCCACTGTTGCTCAATGTTCCGGCCGAGGCCTCCCAGGGTTTGGCGTCATTGCCAGCGCCAACCCCGGGGAGTCCAGTTGAAGAAGACGATGATGTCTGCGCAGGATCTGGTACGCCATCCGTCGGTCTTCTAGTGGTGATGGTTTGCGTAACAACCTCTGTGCTGGTGTCTGGTTCAGGGTCTGGGGGGTTGCTGGATGAAGGCTCCGGAGAAGGCTTTGGTTGTTGTGGGGTGGAACTGGTGGATGGAGGATCAGGCCTAGGAGTCGATGATGTCGAAGGAGGAGGAGGGGTGGGAGTGGTAGTGGGAGGGGGGGGGGGAGGAGGAGTGGGGGTTGGAGTTGGTGTAGGAGTCGGTGTGTTGCTAGTCGATGGCGGAGGAGCGGGTGGGTTGGTGTCAGACGGTGGAGGGTCTGCGGAGGTGTCCGGCGCGCCAGTCGAGTTGGTAGACATCACGAAGAATCGTCGCTTCAATCGCGGTAGGTTTCTGTATGGAACTGCCATATTAGCATGGGATCCCACCGTGGCAGGTTGCGACGCATGGCGGGAGAACACAGCAGGAACATCGTGGAAGACGCCGTGCACCTATTAAGAAACTGTGTGGACGGAGGTGGTGGAGGTTGAAAAAGACAGTCGCGCCGCGGCTGCAGTGAGCAGCTTCAAAGAGAAACAGGCGGTGCGTGTCGGACTGGATCGGGGGCTACAAACCTCTGGGTTGCGGCGAGAGTGCAGATGCAAATGTCAGCGGCACGCGACAGTTGACGATGTCAATTGTGCGGCAGTTGCGAACGAACGAGCGCTTCGATGCGATGGACCAAAGGAGGTGTTTGAGATGGTCGACTGTGAGACCAAATGAATGGCTGAGCAGACGATGCCGTGTGCGCCGACAGAAGAGGCCAGTCGCTTGGCGGCTGAACCTCAGCGGTTGACGAGCTCAGCGGGGCCCGGGATGGCGGGTGCCGAAGAGTAATTGAAGCTGTCGAGCAATGCGTCGGAATGAAAACAACAAAAAGTGAACTGGAACGACGGTTGACGAAATCGCGCGCCGTCACGGGTCGGACGGGGAAAAGACGAGATGGGGGAGCGATGGAAGGTCAGACCCTCGGGGGGATGGCACGAGAGATTAGGTGCGGCTTCAGGGCTGTTATTCCCAGTTGCCAGGCTTGGACTAGGCGCAGGCACAGTTCATGCGGCAGTGCAACATGTACCGCGGCTGCCAGATTGGGCGAAGCGGTACGTAAGACGACGGGACTGTGACACCCGAGACGGGGGGGATGGCCAGGTTGAGGAGGGATTGTCGGCCTGTTTGAACCGACGGCGATTTTGAAGCAATTCTCGTTTCTTGATTTTGTTTTTGTAAACTTCCTCACCAAATAAACATCGGACGAACCTAGTCTAACAAACTTCTTCTTAATCGCTCGAAGCTTTTCATCAGGTGACCGGGCCTGTGCCTCATGCTTTTCCCGCCGGGTCGTTCCTGGGGCAATTTTCAGTTCCTGGGATCTGGCTGTGGGGCCGAAAAGTCCGCCGTTGCATGGGATGACAGCTCTGAGCACTCAAGCTCCCAGCTGGCTTTTGCAACTGTTCGATCGTCCAACCTTTTTTTCTTTCATTCTTTGTCCCCAAGCCAATCTATTTCCAGAAACCCCGTATTACAGCTGAGCTCAGCCTCGTCTTTTGTGCTGCACATGTCAACCTACAACGTTCCCGGCCTGCTACGTGACATTGCCAGAAGATCACGTTGTCGATCGCCTCTCGACCTCTGCTCGGCCTGTCTGAGCTCCCTCCCTAACTTCATCACCATCAACCCATCTCGACAATACAACAACCGCGCGGCAAAGCCATCGCCGTTGGCCATGAAATCCCAATTTGTGGAGATAAGACACCCACCGTTGGTTGATCCACCTCCATCTCACCTACCTCCAGCAAATCGGCTCGCCAACATGCACCCTTTGCAGGACCCTTGTTGCCTGAAACCTCTCTGCTTTGCATCTGCAGATAGGATCTCACTCAGTGCCCTTCCTGCAGCCCGCTCCAACCGGGGAATTAACCCCCCGGGACTCTTCTCTTATCACGATCCCTTCACTTGTTCCCATTCTCCATCCTCAAATCATGACCATCAAGCTTTAAAAAAAATGTTTCTAGAAAAGCAACCGATTCAAACCGCCCCATCGATCCAAAACGTCATAGTAATAAAAACCAAGCCTAGGACCCAACACACTGAACCCCACTATAACTTCGTAATCAAGTACGCTAAAAGGCGGGGGAATATCGTCTCTCGGGATTTTGCTCATCTGATCTCCTACATTTTCTTCCTCCTTCAAGGATGAACCTCGCTGAGTGTTTTCGTTCCTGACTACTCAATCATCTCTACTTGTTGCAGCCTCTTCTTCATCAGCTCAGTATTGCTTGATGGTGTGCTAGCAATGTAAAAATAGCCCCTCTAGACCTCGACTCCTCACCAGTAACCATCTCAGCTGCCCCTCCACTACAAGAGACCTACATATACTCAGATCAGCTACAGGCAGTTCTGCCTATGTGCTGACAACCTGCATAACAAAAAGTGTCTTGTCCTCCCCTGATCCAGATCGAGTCCCAATGTTAGAAGACCTGCAGCCTGAGGCGCTTGGGCTTTAGTTCATCTACCCGGACATATCTTCATGCAAGGGCAAAGGAGAACATAGACATGCAGAATTCAAGACATATTTCAGCCTTTGTTTTTCGATCTAAGATATCTCTAATTCAACTCTTTTTCGCCTCTTCTGAAAACAAACCAAGGCGAGTGCTGTATCTATATCTCAATGCTCTTCCTGATAATACCTAGCGTGATGGCACCGAGCGCAAACATTAGGTATAACCCCAAAAACGACAACCCCATAACCCCTGAGCTCCAACAATCCAAAAAAACTTCAAAACAAACCACCCCTTCTTGTTGCTAAAACCAACTGCTTCACTTCAACCCAAACCCCTCACTCCCATTCACCGCCCCCCAAAGCATCCCCTCCAACCTCTCCCTAGTCCCATACTTCCACAGCCCCAGCGCATTAAAGCACGTCCTCGCAGTCGGATACCGCCCAATATCATCCCCCAAACACGAAATCTTCACCACCAGCGACGCCGCCCCCGTGGCAGGTATCCTATCACTCCCCGTAATAAAACTCAACAATTTCCTCTGATCCTTAGGGCTCGCCCGTTCAAACGAGCTCCAAAACCACCTCACCACCGGCTCGTCCTCCCCCGGATCCGCAACCTCCTTCCCCCACCCTTCATACTGCGCCACCGCCCTCAAAGAATCAATATCCAGCGCCTCATCCGACCCCCTCACCAACAACTCAATCTCCTCCGGCCTAAACAAACTCAACGCATTACCTCCACAAACCGTGAAAAATCCCCGCTTGAACGGCTCAAACTGCCTCGTTACCGACCCGTCAAGAAGATACCTGACGTACAACTCGACATACTCCCTCTTGTTCGTATTCGTCACCGGCCTCCTCTCACCCCCGGGACAGAGCGGCACCCGCTCCACAACCCCGTACTTTTCCACATCCACCACAAAGTCCAGGCAGAAAACCTCCTCGAGGTCATCGTCGCTATACTCCAACAACTGCCTCAGCCCCCTCGCCAGTCTAGGCCTAAACTCAGCCAAATCTTCCAGCGTATAATTCATCGTCTGCCTCTGCTGATGAGCCACCTGCCCAGCCAGCGGCGGCGGCGGAGCAGCCATCAACAACTTTCGAAACGCAAACGGCGGAAGCGCAACATCCAAAATGGTCGAGTTGTAAATCGCAAGCCCCAGCACCACTCCCACCAAAAAGAACTGCTCCGATGGCTCCAGCGAGTTCGGGTTAAAATAGCAATAGCCCGAATCCTCATCATAGAGAAACATCCCATGATCCCTCCCAAACACTTCTCTCACCAACAACAAGAACCACTCCTTTCTCAACCCACCGGCATCAACCCCTTCCTCCCCCTTGAAAACAATCTTCAACCCCTTCTTGATATCCTCCCCACCACCCCCAATAACCTCACTCACAGCCTTCAGACTGTCCTCCACAAGGCAATCCCGCCGAATATTCAGTGTCAAAAACTGCCTCACCACCCTGTGGCTGAGAATGCTATCAAAAAACGCATCCCTTGCCCGACTCTCCATCTGCCGTCTAGCATCATGCTCCAAAATCTGAATCTTGGCCCCAATGCTCAACAAAAACGGATACTGACAAAACGCAAACCTCGCCTGCTTCTTCTCCCACGCCTCAAAATCGCCCACCAGATCCGAGTCGTCTAGCAGCGTCGTGTAAAAGTCGCTTGTGGGGACAATCTGTCCCCTGGCATACACCCCATCACCCCCGTTGTTATTGTTGATGCTATTACCGTCGTACATGTTTCCACCCCTTCTCGCATAATCCATATTGTTCGCCGCAAAGAGCAACCCCAACACCCTCGCCGCAGCCTTGATCTGCCAATCATCTTGATAGACCACCCTCTTTGGCTTCTCCTTCTTCTTCCCCCTGTTATTGTTATTATTCTGGCCCCCATTAGCCCCCCCACCGCTCTCTCTTCCATGCCCAAGCGCAGCGTGCAAACTCGCCGCTGACCTCCCAGCCCCCATGCTAGGAATCAACCCATCCGTGATGTCAACCTTGGTCTCATACTTCTTCTCATTTTGCCTAATGAGCCTATATGCCAAGAAGCTCGACACCAAGTCCTTGGTTTGCACAAACATCTTTTTCGGGTATCTTGCAAACCACCCAACTAAATGGTTTTGGCAGTCCGGAGTAGTATTCGACACCAGCCCCACAATCCGTTTGATAATACCCGAATGTCTCCCAGAGGTGGGACTAGAACCTCGCAGTGGGTCGTTGCTCTGTGTCGAACCTGCGCTGCCAGGGTGCTCAAACTCCCCAGAGTAGGGCTTATAGTCTCCGTGCAGCAAGGGATTTCCAGCAATGATCATGATGAACCGCAGGTCATCGGGGCTAACAATGGGCCTTCCTGGTCTTTTGAGCATCGTCTCGCAGGCTTTGAGAAGAGTCCGTTGGGCGTGCTCCTGTCCAATGAGAATCTCGGTCTCCAGCTCCATGAGCGTGGCGTGTGGAGCAGTCAGGTCTGGGTCTTCTTCTACCAAGCTCGAATACACCTCCGGCCATGAACGAGCAGCCTCCGTGACAGCCGAATACCACTCTTCTAAATCCGCCCATTCCAAGCGAGGACTCCGCGAGCTGACTATGGACTGTCCGTTTTGGCTTTTATTAGAGCTCGACCTTCCAGGGACAACATCCTCCTGCCCACCTGTCCACCAAGAACCGTTCTCTGCAAAGTTGCCCAAGAGTAATAGCTTCGCATCCAAGTCAACGATGGGCTGGGGGTTGATAGTTGGCTGCGATCCCCTGCGGTGTTCGATGTGGTCGACTGAATGTTTCCGTACATCCTCTACTGTAGGACGATGCCGATGGCCTCGGTACGATGTGAATGACGAGTTCAAACAGTGAAACGAAGTAAAGCAAGAGACAATGTAGTCTTCAAGTGGGCGAAATATTCTCCTGGCTTCGCCACCTGGACTTGGGGGTTGAGGTGTATACTGATGAGATGGTTGCTGCGGGAAAACCTCTTGGAGAGCAGGTCGTTTCTCAGGGTATGAAGCGGATATGGTATTGGGGACAGTGTTGGACCAACTAGGCTGTCGGCGGTGCTGACTAGGATCCCGGGACCTGCTGGGTATCGGCTGGGCCCTACGACTAGGGCTACCAGAGCTTGGTGGCCGCACCATGAGATAGGGCTCCGAGAAGTTGCCCGAGTTGAAGTTTCCTTCAGTTGAATTGTTGAAGAACGGATTTGTGGATGGCTCGCGAGGTGGACTGAGAGCCTCGGGCTGTGGGTTTCTCAGAGCAGCTGCCAAGAAAGCGTACAGACACTGAGAAATCAACGACTGTGTGTGTTCGAGAGAAATAGTACCGTCTACAGCAAGTCAGCAACAGCAACGGAAAGATGTAAACGGTCTCCTTACCAGACGACAATGTTGGCCGCCGGTCAGGTGAGGCGCCCGCCCCCCGTGAATGATCCCGTCTATTTTCCCGGTTATGATCATGGCCACGATCTCGGTCCCTTGGTAGTGGTTGCAAGTCATTGATAGTGAGGCAGATGGTGCACTTGAATACATGTAGGTCCCTCGGCCATCGTACAAGCGACCCGCACGTCATGCAATTGCCCGTCGAGTAATCCCTGCTGCCACCCGAAGAGCCGTTGCGGTGACCACGGCTCGGTGGGGGTCTTCCTCGAAACTTCGGCAGAGGTCCGGCGTCGAGACCGGACTCAGAATCGGACTCATGTTCGGGGCGGGTCATGGGGCCCGATTTCTTCTTCTTGATTGAAAAGAGTGACGGGAATGGATGGCTCATGGAGCGTGTATGACGGGGTCTTTGTGCGTTGCGCGAAGGGTGTAAGTCTTCATCGGATGAGCTGGACTCGATTTGGCACTGCTGCAGGTTCTCCCAGGCCTCTAACTCGGGCACTCGAGAAGCGCTTCGATATCGGCTCCTTTCGCGGTTACTGCTACCATGACCGCTTGTAGACCCGGGCTGAAGATGCTGACGAGCATTCGCTGGTGATCGAGCTTGATTCGAAGCCGTTGCGGGGTCGCGTGGACGCAGAAAGGCAGAAGAGCCCACTTCGTTGGGCCAGGGAGCCATGATGACGGCGAGACCTTCTGCTGATCAACTTCAAGCCTGGGCAGCAGAAACAACCAAAGCAAATAGGTCACAGTATCAGCAAGATAGCAGGTTGCGCCTTCACCTCTTGTTGCTTTTTTGAGAGCCCCACAGAATCCCCGGCTCTTTCCTTTGAGGGGCAATATCAGGCGGGTTGGAGAAACCGTCACTGGCACGGGGGGTGGCGTGACTGCAGTTATTCAACTGAAAATGGAAGGGAGATGGAGGCCACGATGGTTTTGTTGCCTCCTGCCTCCTTTCCTTCGATGAAGGTCAAGAGCAAGATGAAAAGTCCGAGACTGCCAGGCCAAGGTCACTCTGCGTTCCCAAAGCACAAAAGTCAACAATAAGAGAATCGAGGTCGGCAGTCGGCAGGGTGGAACACTGATTACGTTGCGTGGTAGCGCGTGTCGTTGGGAGATGGCAATGACGATGGTGTATGTAGAAAGAAAGCCACCCACGACAGGAACAAGCGCCATTCGGTAGGTTGCGACAAAACGAACGAGGGCTGGAGGAGGAGAGGAGGAGAGGTCTCGGCCAGCTCTGGCATTCAAATCAATCACAGCCCAGCTTGAACTGCGCTGAAACGACCCAAGGCCTGTATTACCACTGACCAGTCCAACAGAAGCGACCGTATCCACCAACATCCAGAAAAAGCAGCTTCAGAGAGGCTCTGGGGATCTGCAACAGGCTCACACCCAAGGCCGTTGGCATTGATGAATACGAGTCAACCCCTGCGCCGACCATTTGGCGCCAGCGCTCAAACTATGGTTCACCCACCCCGCCACACTCCATTCCACCAGCCACATGTTCACAGCCACAGCATCATTGCAACACTAACCCCAGCCGAACCTGAAAGCTCGGGCCGTGCCGGCCCATCCCGTGTGGATCGACAGGTCAGACCAAATTCGACTTCACTTCTGGTCAGTCGAAACAGAGTGCGCTGGATTGAGCAACATTGCGAGCTTCTGCATGGTTCGGCGCCTCATGTTCAAATGACGTTCTCGTAGGTTCGTGTTCCCATAAAGCCCACGCACCAAAAGCAATCCCTTTGGCTGGGATTCAGTTGATGGAACCTCGAGCATCTCGGGGTTCAAGCCTAGGGCATGAAGAAGTAGGCGAGGGTATTGGAAGTCCAGGACTCCTGGAGCCTACTGCCTCACGAGGCCTTCAACAGGAGGTCAGCAACAGCCACAATGGTTGACATGCCGCATGCTTTGACAACGAACCCCCTTCTTTTCTCCGCAGCACAAATCAGTATTGAAACCTCAAAAAAATGACTACTAAGCAGCCCAGAGCAAACACCAAACATTGACAGTCGAGGCGTAGTCTCTGAATAGTTGACTGGACGTCTAGTGTCTGGCATTCAAAAGGTAGACACATCCTTGGTTTGGGTGTTTGGATGGTGGATAAAAGGCCGGCTGGAGTTGGAATGTCAACATGCTGTCTGATCTGCGACATTTGGGCCGAGCTGCACCGTCATTTGTCCTAAGGGTAGTACGTACCTAGGTACCTACCTGTCTTTACATGAGGAGGGCTTGTGATTTTCCATCCTTTCTCTTATTGTCTTTGAAACACTCCCTGCCTACCTACCTCCTCCGAGCTTCGAACGAGTCATTTGCCCTAAATGGTACAGCTTGGGTCTGACGCCTTGGCCGATATTCAAGGAAACTCTGCGTCTGACACCGCCGTTCAAAACAACCTCTTGACGCAGACATACTCGGTCACGATACAAAACCTCACGACTAATAACTGTCTCCCAGCATGCTATGATTCACCAACAAGGCCCCTGGCTCTACTTTTTGATTTCCAGTCAGCTCATTCAAGACATCGGCGCGAATCGAAAAGCGCCCCTAAACCCTCGCCTCAGGAACCTCACCGCAACCCAATCATCCAGCGACAGCCCAGTCTCGTTTCACAACCCTCGCTCGGTTCCAACTCAGGCAGCATCTTGGCCCTCATCTGCCCATTCTGTCAAGTGGCCGCGTCCGCCCTCAAGCTGTGTGGGTGGATCAAAAGACTGCTGAGATCCATGTGGTTTGCCTTGTCCCACCCTGTGTAGAATCTGCAGCAAGGCACCCCGTCCCTTGTAATCGACACACACCGCTAAACTTCTTCGCCACATTCTCTACATAAACCACCTAATCATGTCGCAACGGTTGTCGTCGAGGATATGAAGGCCCCTGACGATGGACCAAAGGAAAGAAAAGAAGCTCGATAGTAGTGTGCGGACAAGGCAGTAATATCGGAAGATGGCCCGGATGCTGAGAATGTTGAGAGTTTCGGGCGGTTGGCTTGGCTAAATAAAGATGGTGGGATATCTGGTAGTAGGAGTGAAATTTATTTGTTATAGATAAACAGGTAAAAACGGTTTCTAAGTCAGAAAGGCGGTTGCATGGGTGTCCAAGGTGATAGAGGACTTCATTGTTACCTTCGGGGGCTTTCGTTGGCGTGGTAGCTGGCTACGTTGATTTTATTGAACCCAAATTATTGCCCACATCGTAAACCTCAGACCGATATCACTAACTACATTGTTGCCCAGTTTCATAGACGGTGGGAGAATTTCAGTCACCTAGCCTAGAGGTTAGAATATCGTATCGGGGCTTCTTCCAAGGCAAGCAAGTCTCATCGAGAAGACCGCGGCATGTCATGAGGCCTGCTTAAGAAAAACATCACAACGATGAGCAACCTGGCCTTGCATGTTTGAGGTGAAACGTGGAAAGGATACTACTGGATTGTTTATACTTGTTTGGTAAGAGCAAAGCATCAATTGATGTATCAAGGTAGTCAGACTTTGCAGTCCCCTGCGCGGCAATAAGTTCATGAAAGGTTTTCCGACAGTGGGCGGGGTCATTGGTTCTTCTTGTTCTGAGTTCATGATACTCTGCTTTTTTCCTTCGGATGTTGAACATACTTGATAAATCAGGTCCAACGACAACAGTGAGCAACAAGTCAGTAGCATGCGTGGGCATTCATCACCATGTTCTTCAACGGGACAACACTCTGTTGAGTTCCGCGTAGGTGAGTGGTCATGGCACGAATCATATCTCGCTCCGTACCTCATAACCTAGGTATGAGAGCTTCCAAATAAGGTACACGGGCTAACACAATAGGCGGCAGAGGACAACACGACAGAGGGAAAGTCTCAGCGAAACTGCATAAACTAACAGTACACAACGATCTCAGCGACTTGAAGTTGTCAGTCAAGAATGATGTGTGCAAAGCCGGCGAGCAAACCAATTTCATTGCAGACCCAAACACCCCTCCCGAGCTTTTGGCCCTCGCGCTTGGAGAAAAACACTCCAACTAAACCAGACATCTCCAAATTCGAATTTGAAGCTTATTACACGTCTTTGGGGGGGCTTCTTGTCTTTCGACTTGGCATACATTATATACACGCTGTCTGTTTGTTTCCTATCTCCATGCTTGCTTAGAGTATCACCAGAATCGAACATTTTCTTCATACCTTGCCTACACCTGCTCTTCACTACGCCACTTTATCCATTCCCCTCAAATCAACCCCATCCACCCCCCTGAACTCAAACCACTCCCCCCATTCCTTATCCCCCACCAACCTCCCCACCGCCTCCTCCTCACTCCCCCCAGCAAAAACCACAAACTCAATCCCCTCCTCCTCATCCCCTTTCACTCCCGCTCTCGAAGGGTAAACCACAACTCCCCCCTGGTCAATACTATCCACCAAATGCCTATACGCCACCAACTTCGTCCTCCCCCCCTTTCCAAACACCCAATCCGTCCCAAGCAGCCCCCCTCCAGCTCTATGATCAGATGATCTAGACCCCGCCTATTCGCAACTCATCCCAAATTATACCCATTCACCCGTTCTCCTCGGCCTTTCCACATCTCCGGTGAGCACCCATCAGAAGACCGGTTCCCAAATGAAACAACCCCCTGCTTGCTCACCCTCACAAACGAGACCTACCTCTCCCAACGGGCCACAGTGACAACTTCCAATTTGGTCGGGCGCTTCCCCCCCCGCGGGGGGGGGAAATAAAAAAAAGG